TATTTTACCAACGAATAGTGGGATTGACCGTCACATTATAACGGCTGAAAAGGTGAGCATGTTTGGTGTGAGAGGGGTTCGAACTCGCGACCCCAGATTGCGAGTTGAGTGCCTTAACCACCTGGCCATGCCGGGCCTCATAACTAATGAAGGAAGCAATCTGGAACAAGAAAACAAACCGGCAAAGTTAACCATTCGGTACAAAAATCTTTAACGATAGTCTATGGATGACAATATAATCGTGATAACAAATGTAAATGAAGATAAACATTACAATTTTTCTATTCATTTAATTCGCGATTGAAGGTTTACATAATTTTATTTTTCAATACTTTATTACAATATTTACTTCAGAGTTATATAATGAGCAACAAGGATCAACGTGATTATAATAATACAAACACTTATAGACGTAGTAATAAACAGGCTGCACAATTCTATTCATTTAAGTATGGTTGAAGTCTATTGATCAATAGGCTTTCCTTTATGTATTGTTCCTGTTTATTACTTGCCTTGGAATCTGAGGATCGCGGGTTAGAATCCCCCTCCCATCAAGCATGCTCGTCCTTTCAGCCGTGAGGACGTTATAATGTGACGGTCAATCCCACTATTCGGTGGTAAAAGAGTAGTCCAAGAGTTGGCGGTGGGTGGTGATGACTAGTTGCTTTCCTTCTACTCTTTCACTGCTAAATTAGCGCAGATAGCCCTCGTGTAGTTTTGCGCGAAATTCAAAAGAAACGAATCAAATCAATCAGTCTTAGTACAGGAGGAAGGAAAAGGTCTATCAAGAACCTGACCAGTAGAGGAACGTCACATTTTCATAAGTGTCCGAATATTTTCGCCAACTCAGTGTATAAAGAATGAACATTAACCATTAGGAACTTTAAATATTAAAACAAAATACTTTGTTATAAACACACAGGTTGTGGGAATACATAATCTACAAGGGTAGTTAACTTTTTCTGTATTAAAACGCCCCTCAGTGGTACAGCAGAAAGTCTGCGGACTTAAAACGCTAGAAACCGGGTTTCGATACCCGTGGGGACAAAGCACAGATAGCCCATTGTGTAGCTTTGTGCTTAACTTTAAAAACAACAACAAACAAACTGTATTAAAACATATTGCTGTCCCGTATAAGGCAAAAAATGAACTTTTTGAAAGTAAACTGTAAAATAAGAAGGGTGGAAAGTTTGTTCATACATTTGAAGACTATCCTGTAAACAAAGTTAGCAAAGAATTTATTATATTTTGAATATTTCATTTTTTTTTATACAGCATAGCCTATAAGTGATTGGTCATACTTCTGTACGCCCATATAACGACATTTTTACCGTATTAATTTTGAAAGCAAAAGGCACAAAGCTAGCAATTGTAACATACGATCTCTCTATATATTATATAACAATGTGTCCAAAAATATTACACTGTAAAACAGATTTTTTTACTGTTCAAATAGTGTAAAAATACCTAATTATGTTAATCAAAAATGATGAGCATACTATTAATAAAACCTTTTTAATGGGCGGATAAGGAAAGTGAACATTCATTCAGACACTATTATGATAATTTTGTAAATAAATAAAGTAGCCATATTTTACTTAAACATTCAATGAGACTGTTATAGTATTTTGGCACTTGTGTATAAAGTTAAAATCATAAATAATATTCCACGTTAAACTGGTACACAATTAAAAACATTTTACAAACGTTGTAACATCGAAACATGTAGAGTCGTCAACTTTTTGATAGGCCTAAATAAAATGTTTTTAATTATGTACCAGTTTAACGTTGAATATTATTTATGATTTTAATTTAATGTGACAATTTACCAACAAAAACTATTACCATAGAAAAAAAAGAAAAAAAAAGTTTAGTTAAACTATATCCAACATCAGAGGATGAAGAAAATATATGTAAATTCGTACATAGATCAATAACTGCTTGCAAAGAAATATTGGTGTAAAATGACTCCGTATCAAGACGCTTTACGCACTTTATTATGGGATTTTACGTCTACTATTGGAACGCAGAAAAATTTTCTAGAAATTAATTGTCGTACTATCGCTATTAGTGGCAATATTGGATAGGTGACTTTGTCATACATAATGCTAACAAAAAAATCTAACGCCTATTGATAAAATATACCGTATTTTTCGGAATATAGGACGCACCCTTATTTTGAAGACAAAGTTTTTTTGGGAAAAAAAGCTACAGTCGCATTTGAAAGATTTT